TAGCTATGAACGAAAGAATAAAAAGCTTGCGAAACATATCTCTCCAAGCGGAAAAGTCAAATGTTCTAACCCTGAGGCCCACAATCTTATTCAAATTCCCGTGGCTGGGGATGGCTTGCAAAAAAGCAAAAGTTAGTAAACAATTTCCGCCGCAAGTTACTTGTATGTAAAGCTCAATATTCACTCATTATATTGTAATATGTTAGGATTTTGACTCCGTTAAATTGTAGAAACGAAGCGGTTTCCGCATGAGTGCGGTTACGGCTAACCTTACAGAAACAACGTTACTCAAAGGAAAACATCGAACTCCTAGGTTAAGGAAAAGAAAAGTTCTATTGCTTCCATCAATTTATTGCAATTTTTGTGTGATATTCTGAAATAAGGACCATGCAGCAATGTGATAACTCATAGTACTGGTTATACAATTTATTAAAGTCTCATAGGTTGGTGATACTCACGTGATCTTAGTAAATGATTCAGCAGTATTACTGTTTGGAGAAATTTGATGCTGGTCACTTAGTGCTTCAGGGAATCTTCGATCAAATGCTTGATAATTACTCAGAGCATTATTTCTCACCGAATCCAATTTCTTATAAATGAATACGTACTTGGATTAATTTCCTCGACATTTAGAGGAAGATCCTATTTGAGACAGTTTGCATCATGAATTTTACACGAAGTAGTAAGTGCATTGTTAATAACGCGCACTCACGTGAGTTATTTGCGTAATTCTTGCAGTGCTTTTGGTCTGCGGGGCAAGATGTCTGAGGAGAAGAAAATGAGGCAAGTATTGAACCACAAACTTATCCGTTTTAGCTAGATGTCTTACTGAAGCGCACATTTTACTTCGAAGGTAGTTCTGCGTGTGTTTTACCACCTCATCTGTTGCTCGTGCGCGCTGTGCTGTCTGTTGTCGATCAATCATTACGTTTCACTTTCTTTTCAAACAATCTTTAGTGTAACTTTGAGATAGTTTGAGGACATTGCGACAAAATATGTACGTTTTAAGTCAAGTGTGCCTCGAAAGAATCAAGCAATCAAGCTTGTTTTTCCCTGAAGTTAACAAGAGCTTGAGTTGAATCCGACAAACGCGAAACACGAAGCTGCACCCTTACGATTTCCAATTTTAATACTTTTCGCTATGTTTTCCTTTTAAAGTTTATTCATAGATATTGAATATTTGTTGTTAGGTTATTTTAGACTGGCCTTTCCAAGCTAACATTAGCTATCCACGACTAAGGAAAATTGTTATTCTGTAAATACGAAAATTGAAAATGGAGATTGTTTTGTGTTGGTATTCACTCTCACTTCATGCAGGAACTTCCGCTTTCTCTTTCACATGTACTCTATATTTCCAATTGCTTTCCTACAGCTTTTGAGAGATAGAAGGATCCTGTTTAGCCAGAGAAATATCCGTTATTGAACGTGCATTTATCCATCTTATTTTGAAACGGAATGTTGTAATAAGGTTAGGGTGTGTCATACGACAAAGGTGACAGAAACTTCCTTACCAATTTGATAACTATTCCCCTGTGCATGATATCAGATGGTGTGTTTGTGTTTCAAACTTGGTGCAATTTTTTTTTATTTGCATTAAGCTTCAAGTGTCAATTTCAAATGTGGTTACCTTGTAAGCCAAGGTTGCTCTAAAGACATTGAATTTATTTAGATCTGTCAGTTGTAGATATTGGCCTGCTGTTCATGGAAACCTCGTCCATTCGGTTTTTGGCACATGTCCCATGTTTTTGTTAATTATTGACATAGGAACTGTTTCTATTTCATACTAAAACCACCGCCTACCTGATCAAAAACAAGCTAGCTTCCATTCATATTTTATTTCATAATAAATGTGTAACCACTAAAGTAACAAAATCATGTGAAAGGTGTTAGATTATGCTGTCATGGCTTGGTTATGGGTGTAGTTCAATTGACAACACACAGTAAACTTTCACAATAACAACAGCTGTCTCAAGGGTTAATGGCTGAGACAAAATTGATTGGTTCTTGAAGTCACATGACCTATTGTCACAGAAGGATTATGAATGCATGATCTTAATAAGGAATATCTTCTGTTATATGCTCTCTGAATAAGTTAATTTGTATTGGATTTGTGCCAGGATTACATCCCCTTTGAGACAAAACAAGCATATCAGGTTACAAGATGATAGGAAGTAAGAATACAGATATTTGCAGAGAGGTTCAGCTCCATCTCTTTTGCAAGAAAAGATTAAAATTAAATAAATTACCTTACAAAAACATAAGCATTTAACTTTTGGTATAATTTGAGACTTTTTGCTCATTTTCAGCAAAAGCTATAATCACATATCTCCTGGAGTAATTCCAGTACTTGATGTTTTTCACTGTTCATGCTCGTTGTCGTGATGATTTAGCTTTTAAAAAAATTGTCTAATTTATTGCTTGCCTGTCCTTTATACAGTTACAATCTTTTATCCATTCAAAATTTTTTAAACCTGTGTGATTTTGGTCTTCCTTTGACACTGGGTATAGAAGTATCATATTATCTTAAACAGAGGAAATTAAAAAAAGTAAATTAAACTGGTTTTAGAATTTTATATGGCGAAGGGTGAATGTAATATGCTAGAGGCCTTATATGTTTTATAATTAACTGTTAACTAGTGAAGTTTCTATATAAATTTGATGTTAAAAACAGTGACATTATTGTTGCATCTGTATCTCTGTAGGCTTCCATGTCCCATTTTTCCTGTCAATGGTCCCAAGCAAGGTACATTTGATTACTATGTCCTTGTGTGTAAAGATCTTGATTGGAGTATCCCTGCATGGGATTTTCTGAAGACTCCTATTTTGGAGGCTGCAAAGGTATTGATACATCCATATAGAGTACTTGTAACTTTCCTTTTGAATTATTATGTAGGTGTTGACTGAGCAGGAGAGCCTGATGGAAAACTGTTTGGCTCTAGCTAAATAAATAAGACAAATATTGCTTGTGAAACTCTATTTGAAATTTGATCTCACAACAAGATTACCTCGCTAACTGTTTGAGACAAAATTTTGCAGGTGGATAAAGCAGTTGGAGTTGAGACATTGGTGTTTTCCTGTGACCAAGACTTGCCAGTGGTAAGTTCATAGAAATTTTCAATAAGGTGCAAGGAACTTATGAAAAATGTAGTTGTGGAGCAGCGTTCTGTTAATATGAATGGTCCATGCAGTAACCCTTAATCATGTAAAAAGAAGAAGAGTTTGTCAAGGTCCACAGAATGTTTCTTCCCCAAGAATTTACGAATTTTTGTCTCCATGAAAAGTCTGCTCTTGTTCCAAGTGGCCCCTCTAAGGGGAGCTTATCCCACTGTTCATAGCATGAAGCAACTAAATGTAAGAATATTAATTATACTGTTAAATGAGATATCAGTGCAGTGCAGATCATTCCCTAGCTCCTTCCCCATCAACACTCTGTTAAGCCTCCCTGACAGGTTGCTGTTAACCCTTTGACTCCCAGAAGTGATTAACTTGTAACTTCTCCCAATAATATCCATACAATTCAGCCACCAGGTAATGAGAATACTCAAACTCATCAGGAAGAAGGTGTTGTCTTGATCTAGTACCAAATTCTCATAAATTATTTACAAGGAATTGTATGTCACTTATAGGGGAAAATTAACAATCAGATCTTGGGAGTTAAAGGGTTAGAACCTTTTATATCCCAGGGAAGATACAGTTACTGTGAGTTGTAAGAATATCTTGCCCAAGAACATCTCAAAATGACCTGGCCAGGTCTCATACCCAGAGATACCCTGGATCTGGAGTTTAGGTAGCACTCAATCTGTTAGGCCACAGCATCTTGCACAACATACAATACTTTTAATTAATAATTTCCTCTACCCAGGTATATGCTCCAACAGGCCCTGTTAATAGGGATTATGATGATGTGAGACGATACTATGATGCAGCAGTGAATGGAATTAAAAGGTGAGTTACTATATACAACATTTTCTCTCCTACATGTATATGTACATTTGTGCATATAACTTCTTCTTTTTTTGATATCATGGTTTTTCTTGGGTGAACAGAAGAGATGTTCATGTTATGTTTGGTAAAGATTTTATTAATTATCAAAAATATAAGCAAAAGACCTAAAATAATTGCCTACCTCAAGGTGACTATTGATAACAATGAAGCACTGTATTTAAGTCTTAAAACAGAGTTATCTTTTATTTAACTTTGAGTGAAAATGTGGGCTGGAAATGTAAAAACTATAATTTTTTGTCAGGGAAAGGCTCAGGCTCATTAGTTGTGCAGTAATATGATTATGTGGTAAATTAATCATTCACTTGTCTTTTGGCAATTAATAAATAAATGTTCATTGAATTTCGAACATTTTGGTTTGATTTGAAAAATAAGACAGAATTATCTAGGTTGATCTAGGGAATATTTAACCAACTTTTGAGGTGCAGAGAAAAGGAGAAAAAAAATCATGAGAGAGGCAATTTCATTTGACATGAGCTAATCTAACAACAAATTTGGGTAACCTGGTTAAAGACCATGTGACACTTGAAGCAAATTGAAAGCCAATCAAAATAGAGTCTTGGTTTGTGTGAGAACAAGTCTGAATAATTTCCATGGTGCATGGCATTTTGGAATTTGAAAATTAAGACATTCCACATGCAAAAAAATGCCATTTTCCTCATTGATATTGTCAAACTCAGCAAGGATGGCCATGGAATTACCCTGACTGGATGCTCTGAAAAACAAAGAACAGATGCTTGCATGTCAGGAAAGGAAGATCTGCATTGCATAAAAATGTATTCATTTGTGAGTCCTTACTGCCTTGGCTGATATGATACTGTTGCAAATACATTGGGCAGGCTCAGTTGAAATTGTCACACTGTTGATAAATTATAATCGTGTTTTATCATTTTCCAAAGGGCTATTAAGGGCGGAAGTAGATGCCCACTCCTGGTGACCATTTCAAAAGACACATTCCCAAATGCATGGTCTGTTTCACTTCTTGGAGCTCTTCATGCACTCTATGTGGTAAGAATCACTTAGCATGTG